ACCACAGCACTTTTTATCTTAAAGCGCATTTTACGTGCGAGGACAGAGGAGCACTTGCCCGTCTCCATCCTGCGATGGGACACGACAGAGCCCCGCAGCCACTGGACATCCCATAGCAGCGTTAGGAGGATTCACTGTGACTGGGCTGGAACGAGGGACTGCCACTCTCCCACAGGGCAGGAGCGGGTGCCCCAGCTGGGTGCCAGTGTGCCCAGCCCCAGGGCACCACTGCCTGTGGGTGCCATGCTCGGTGCCAGTGGAAAGTGGCACCCACAGGGACAAGACCAGTCAGGACATGGGGCAGGTCTGAGTCGCGGTCCCCTCTGTCCTCGATGATACTTTGGGGCATGCAGAGCTTCCCCACCTCATCCTACAGCAACAGCCTGAGTTTGGGTCATTTCGGATGCTCTGGAGGGGTGATAAAGTAATAACAGCCCTGCATGCCAAAAGCTGGGCTGCTATCATGACATAGGAGAAACACAAAGAAATGAAAAAATTTAAACTGCCAGGGAGGGAAATGTACAGGGGACAACACCAAGGTTAGCCAGTGTCGCCTGTCACCTCCGTGCCCCCCAGGGAGCCTCCTCCAGCTCGTGGGTTCAGTGCAGCATCAGGAGATGGAGTCACAATTACCAACCCCACGGCTGGGGCACCATCAGCACCCTGCAGCTCCCGACACTCTTGTGTATCGAGGCGGATGGCAAGAACACTAGGCCAGGATAGAAGTTAACATTAATAAGCATTATTCGCCAGCAGACACTAAAAATTACTTATTTTAACAGGAGAACTTACTGACCTGAGATAACATTTGGAGACCAGACCACAAGCTCTGACTAGAAGCAGAGTAAGGGGAAGAGTGACAAACCCAGGGAGCCGCTGCTCCCCGTTCCCCCCTCTCCTCCCCATCCAGCACAGATGCACAGCGCCGAGCCTCCTTGCAGAGCCGCCATCCCAGAGGGGGACCCTGAAGGGAGGGCACATCTCCGTGATGATGCAGCAGCTCCTTATTTCCACTGGCACGTTCACCACCCATGAAAACAGAGTGCATTGAGCAGGAGGCTCGAATAATAATCCACTTCAAAGTCACTCTCCTGCTCCAGTTAGGATTAATTTCCAGCAGCGCCACGTGAAAATACTAGTGAGCACCAGTCTGCAGGGTCCCCCACCCCTTACTGGTGGTCACCTGGATCACTGAGGGTCCCACAGAGGAACTGGGGAAGATGCTGGTGCCTGTTTGGCCATGAATAGGGCAAGAAACAGTCCCATTTGTCCCACATCCAAATTTCCCAACCCACTCGGTGCACTGTGTTACAGGTTTTCACACACTAGATGTCAGCAGAAGAATAAAAATAACGCAGAGAGGTGTCTGGTGCACCAGCCTGAACCTGGCAGTGATTTCCACTGGGCCACTAAAACTCACACCTGTGCAGCCTGACACCTGTTAACCCATTTGCTGCAGCAATAACCAGACTGGGCGGAGTGTGACAGGGAAAAGCCACCCAGAGGGGACCCGGTGCCTTTCGGAGCACCTGCACGAGTCCTGAACAGGGCAAGATGCAAGCCCGGACTGACCCATCTGTGTCAGCAAAACCCTGAGATACTCATAGACCAGCAAAACAGCATTTATTTGGCACGTACATTTTCGATGGGGGGATATGCTGCTGGCCCAGGGCCCAGCTTCTCCAGTACAGCCAATTTAACCGACCAGCACTGCTCCCCTGCTTCTCCTGCAGACACCCCTTTGAAGCCGGGGATTACGCAATGTGGCCCACAGGTAGGACCTGCCCCTTGCTCCACCAGCAGAAAAACAAACTACAGC